CTACTTTTGTCTTCTAGCATTATTTCTTCGATTCTTTTAAACCATCTTGCTGGTCTACCTTTGCTCGATTTTTTCCTTAATAGTTTAAGCTGTTGCCATAAAATCATTCTATTACCTTTTTTATTGATAAGTTGATTTACTAAAAATATATTGAGCTTTCTCAATGCTGAGGCCACTTGTACTGTAAACTTGTCTTCCAATATGTTTGTGATTTTTAGTTTCGTCTCTGTCTTTTTAGTGTCTATATTATTAAATTTAAATGTTATTTGTAGTTCTTTAGCTCTGAGCATTAGCTGGCATGCTAAATTGTTTTTTCACAAGTTTCTGCATACTTTATCTGAGTTTTTCTGCCAGTTTGTTTCTGTTGCATCTAATAGTAGCAACTAGTGATATGGGCCGACCCCGGCCCATTGGCCGGGTGGGCGGGCAGGCAGACCCTCAGCCCGCAACTTTGTGGGCCAGGGCTGATTAAGATAATATAGTTTTTTTTCAGCAAAGTTTGCGCAAATAGGTTTGCAATTGTGCACCTATTAAATTAATTTTTACTTTTTTAGTAACAAATTTGAGGCTATATTTGATTAATTGAAATATAATTTATGCTATGTACGGCCTAATTTATATAATTGATTGATGCATTTGTTAGGATTCAGTTATGCAAAAAAACTTTAATTTTGTGGCTTATACATTATTAGTTCATGAAACAAAACCACAGATCATAGGTCAAAATCAGGAATTGCGATTCAAGATCATAAATTGTGTTTTGAAACTCAAGGGCTAGAAAAATTTATATATACGGTCTCTTATAAATAAACAAAAATGGAATTATCGATTTTCTATTGAACACAGTAATTGTTTTACAGCCTGTTTTCTAATTAGAAACAATTTAACTACATCGTGTTATTAATCTAGAATTTTCAAATTTTGAATTTAAAGTTATCATACGATTCAATATCCTTGATTATAATCAGGTTGAATGTTGTAAAGTTTGTTGCAATTAATAATATCGCTAACAATAATAATGATAATAATGTGCCTCATCAATAAGTTAATTAATAATACATATTGTTAATCAGTTTTGTGTTCTCTTTTAAATAAAATAAAATAAATTGAAATAAAATAAAAAAAAAACTTAATTACTACTTAAAACTAACAAATTAAGCAAATAAATTTTGCTTTTTAAAAGCTCTTTTTGCTTCATAATGCTCGCAAAAAACATAATACTCGTTCTCAAAGTAAAGAAAAAAGGCAGGACATAGATAATGTTGAATCATCTGAAATCAGGCCTAAAAAAAATACAAAAAATTAAAAAACTAGCGCAAGTTACTGAAATTGAAAGCGATGAATTTTCAAGTCAAGTATTCTATAGTACTGCATCTCCGCCCTCCACACCACTTCATATTTCACTTCAACATGAGTCTCAAGAACAATTTAATCAGTTACGCGAAAGTGAGGATAGCTATCAGAATAACTTCAATCAGTTATTAAAGGCCCCAGTTACTGAAATATTATCAAATACTATTGCTAAATCTAATGCAGGATTACGAAATGTTAGTTGGGTTTGGGATTATATGAAAAAAGATAAATTAAAAAAACAAGTTACATGTGAGGTAGTTACATTATTAGACGGAAATAGCAAAAAATGCAACAGAACTTTTAGTATCACAACTTCAACTACACACCTAGGTGAACATCTTAATGCAATTCATAGAATTTTTTCTAGTAAACAATATAAAAAAAATTCACAAGGGCAAACAATAATAGAATCAAATAAATCTATTCGAACTATACCTTCAATGTTATTAAAATTAGATCCTCATAAACCCGCCAAACAAGAAAAATTAGTATTTCATTTAATAGCATGGATTGTTGAAGATTATCAACCCATGACTGTTGTAGATAGTCAAAATTTTCGTCGTTTTTGTTATGAAATGGATCCCCGTTTTAAAGTTCCTGGTTCAGCACAAATTAAAACAAAAATTAAAGAATCATTACTTTTTGCTGAAGACCAATTACGTAATTTAATATCTGAAAAATGGAATCCTTTTCTTTTACCACAGATATGTGGACAAGCATGCACCGTCCTTATATTGGTGTAACAATTCATTGGCTTTCAAAAAATTTTGATTTATATCAAGCAGTTTTAACTATTGAAGAATTCCCTTATTCACACTCAGGAGATCGTCAAGAATAATTTTTATCAAAAATTTTCGATCATTGGAATATACGTGACAAATTGGTTGGGGGAACTACAGATAATGACAAATCAATTGTTAAGGGGATGCGCCTTCTTGAAACACCTCATATTCGGTGCACAGCACACACAATTCAGTTAGCTATTAAAGACGGTCTTAATGTATGCGATGACCTTTTGACCAAAGCAAAAAAATTAAACAACTGGCTGGTAAAAAGAGATCGATATCGTCAAAGTCTTCGCAATATTCAAAATGAGCTCAATCAACTATCTGCAGATGAGTCTGAAAATTTGGGATGGCCATTATTAGGCGATTATAATTCTGAATCAGATAATGATGATTTACCAGTACAATCAACGTCAATGCAGCCAATTGAACAAGCAAAAAAAAAAAAAACCTCTATTGTAGAGCCTATCTGTGATGTTAAGACCAAATGGAACTCCACTTATTTTGTTCTAAAAAGGCTAGTTCAATTATGAGATACTACAGAACAACTTGCAAAATCTTTGTGTGTCATCCTGATCTGCAGCAAAGAAAAGATGGGCGAATTTTAAGTGAGAAATTGCTTTCAGAATCAGAATAGAAAGAGTTAGATGAGTTAATCTTGCTTCTATTGCCTTTTGCTCAGTCAACAAAATTAATTGGTGGTGCACAATATCCTACTCTTAGCATGATGCTCCCTACCATTTCACTTTTATCTTCACATCTGCGTCATATAAAATCATCTCTTATTTCACCTAATATCCTAAACATTTGCCAACTAATTGAGGATTCTATGTCTGCCTGTTGGGAAACACCTCTAATGGAAGCTTATATCACCTCTTATTTAGACCCCCGGTTTAAAAATTTATCTTTTGTTAGCAATGAAAAAAAAAAAAGAGTTTTAGATTTTTTATCTGAAATGATAAATACAACTAAAACTACTACTAACACCTTGCAAACTGAAATGGATCGGTTTTATGATGGCGAAACTTCTGATTATCTTGTGAATAATGAATTAGAACAATATGAAAAAGTGATGCAAATAAATAAATATTTTATTGATGAACCTCGTTATAAAATACATAATCCTCTTACTTGGTGGTGTACAAATCAAAAAGATTATCCAAATTTGGCAGCTTTGGCACGCAAATATCTCTCATTTCTGGCCACTTCTGTGCCCTCTGAACAGTTATTTTCTAATATGGGCAATGTCCTAACACAAAAGCGAAATCAGTTAGATCCAAACACAGTCCATGACATATTATTTTTGAAAACTAACTCTAAGCTATTCAATGTCTATCCTGGACTAGAATAGAAATTTTGAAATAAGTAAATTTGAAACTAGTACTAGATAATTTGTACTGAAAATGTATGTATATATTATAATTGTCATTATTCATGCAGACAATAAACTAATTTACTTACTATAACTAGTATTCTAAATTTACAATTTGAAATTATTATGTATATTATTGTAACGGTCAAATGACCTAGAAGTTATTACAAAAAATCGGAATAATATTGATGAACAGAAAATGCAATGACTTTAATTCCGTTAAACATATATTATCATTACAGCTTGTTTGAATTAATGTTATTCATTTACATTCGTATTAATATAAACTATGGGAATGGTTGCTTAAAATGTGCAATTATTAACGCGCATAAGTGCAATAAGTTTTATTTTTTCGGTTTAATTTAACAACCTGATATGTAAGCTTCGACATACAAAACATCATTGTTTTTATTATTGAATATATATTAAATTTGATGCAAAATACAATTTTTAGTAAGATGAATGTAAGTACGATGATTTAGCAATTTAGTTGGGCAAAAAAAAATTTTTATTAGTGGAGTCAGCCCGGTCAACTGGGCTAAGTACTTTTGGCAGCCGGGTCAGCCTGAGAGTTTGGCATCGGCCCGTATCACTAGTAGCAACCCTTGATTAATTCTAATTCTTGTTGGTTTCTCCTCAGGACCTGCTGAATTAATTCGTGCATGCAGACTTGTAATTTGTTTAATTAGCAATTAGTCCCATAGTGCATTGCAGTTGCCCAGATTTCTATAAATAATTATACTATTGCTTGTTGTTCTTGCAATTCCTAGCTTGTGTTTAGCTACTCCTATTATAGGCCCTTGTATAGTATCGATTG